ACGTTAAACTGTGGTGAGTCAGGTTCAACTAATAATCTCGTTTCAGCACCATTTGCACCTGGCTCCCGAAGAGGTTCTTCTGGTGGAGATGAGGGTTTCTCCGATAATCCAATGTTGAGGTCAAATAAGTTCCCGCTTATGTGTCCTCCCCTTGAACTTGAGGCCATTGTGTCATGTGGGATGTGAATAGACTGCCGTCTCATTGACATTTCCATATGTAAGTCGAAAACATTGGCAGATGAATGTATGCCCCTTGAAGTAGAAGAGATGTTGCCATATGGATTATTGGTGAAACCACGTGGGTTGAGATCATGTCAATACCTATTATTTTTTAGGGGACTTTAAAGTGCGTTCCCAGGGAACTATAGATGGATGGTGAAATCAGGTAAATTATAACCAAAATTTAACTTCTTTTGGAAGTTCATCAAGTTAAGGATAAAATTATACATATAGATAAATTTAAGTTCATAACTTAAATTAAAACGTTATGTGAAGTTTGAATAAATTAGATAAAATATTATGGATAAATTGAATAAATGTGAAGTGATAAGTTGATTGTGACATTGAAATTGTATGGAATGAGCATCGACATGTTTTTACGAATAAATGTGAAGTGATAAGTTGATTTTAATGTATACGTTTTAATATATATGTTAATGATAAAATCATATGTATGGATAAATTTAATTTCAATTTAAGTACTGTGAACTATAATTAGAATATAACTTTTAATTTCGAATACAATTAGAATATTAAGTTGAATTTAATGTTAAATTTCGAATACTATAATTTATATTTTAAATTTAAATTTGGAATAATATTATTTGAATTTTAATTTTAAATTTCAAATTCTATAATTTGTATTTTAAAAAAATTTATTAAACATTTAATGTTAAATTTGAATAAAAAATAACATTAAAAATATTGGCAGTAACAACCATGAAACATTTAAATAACATAATCAAATTACATAAATTTCTGAAATATAACTATTTAAATAACATTAAAATACAACTGGATCACCGATGTCGTCTTCTCGAATGAGTTCCACATGGCGGTGGTTGTCTATTTCGCGGAGGATTTCTTCGTGGAACTTGTTCTTCAGTCTCCTCATCTTCACTATCATCATCATCGGCATTTTCTTCATTTGGCGTAGATGACGCTGAAGGGGCTGAAGGGCCTGTATAAAATAACGACCCTGGAGGAGTGCTAGTAACAATCCCACCGTTCCTCGGGAACTGTGAAAACTGTGGAAACATTGGCATCAATGTCTGTGATCCAGATGGAGATTGAGGTGTCTGTGGAGAAGCACCACCAGCCAAATAAGATGCATATGAACCATATGCTGGATCATTAAACATAGCCGTATATGCACCTCCATATGGTATAAAACCCTGCGGGCTAGCTATGTAACCTGGCGGGCTAGAAATGTAACCATGCGGGCTAGGAATGTAACCCTGCGGAGATGACATATGAACTGGTGGGCTTGGCATATACCCCTGAGGAGATGGCATCTGAAGTGGAGGGCTGGACATGTACCACTGTGGCATCGGTGGATAAGGATGTTGTGGTGGGACTGATGCAGAACCGGTAGCGTCTTCTCTCCGTCCACGCATCGGGGGATGATGATATTGATACGATTGACGTCTTTCTCGGCTCCTAGGAATGCTAACCCCTCGTGCTTCCGCCGAAAGTAGAAACGACTTCCCTATTTTCATTAAACCAGTCCATATAGTTATCTGTAACCATATGACCAGTTTCAGCGTAATATTGTCGAGGGGCCAACTATGCATACTGGTTCTCCCAAAGCGCAATCCAATCTATGTGTCTCACTACCCAGTTAACCTCTTTCTTTCCTCGTCTATCTATGTTATGCACGTCGTCTAAATTCCTAGGTGCTCCAGGAATATATTGCGTACAACCATACAGACGGAGCACGCGATCAACTGGATGCCACTCAATAATAGCATAACATATAAGAGGTATAACCGATATCCAAACCTCTAATGACCCACCAAGGTGGGGTGGGATGTAAGCCTTCACTTCATCGCTCGCATAAGGTATCCATTGAAACTGAAATATAAATATACAATTCAAATAAATAAAATATTCTAATTATATCTACCATTTTAAATTAAAATATTAATATTTAAACAGGTGTAAAAACATACCTCATACCTAGCTTTTGTATCAATAAGTAGACGAATCTCCTCTAACCCAGTAGGTATACTTCTATGGTTCTTTCTTTTCATCGACCACCTATGAAATATAATATAAACTAAATATCACCCTATTTAATTAAAAATATTTAAATCAAAATTTAGTTCGAAAATTACCTCAACAATAAGAGGAATACGTATGGTTCATTCACGATCGGGCATAAAAAAGGCATGTGGAACCACACCCATGATTGCAGAAGCAGGAGACATCCACCGATAACAGTTTTCTTATAATTCGTCACCGACACATTTCTCTAAAGAGAAATGTCAAAACTGCAGCGCCCCAACTATATCTTCCAGCTTCATCAAAATCGATCAGATGCCGCAACCACATACAATACACCTGGTTGCGATATTTGTCGGGCATCAATATTCCTCCAATTATTCGTAGAATATATGCCCGAGCACATGCCTTTGCTTGATCCTCTGAAGCATTTTCATTTAAAACCTCAAAATTAGCTTTCAACCAAGATAAAGCTATTATACCTCCATTAAACTCTGGCGGAGTAGCTCCAAGATAATCCATGCACATTGACTGCCAATCACCATCCGCCATACCACACATCATATTTCCGTCGACAGGAAGCCCCAGATGCATAGAGACATCCTCCAGTGTAATTGTAGCCTCTCCACATGGAAGGTGAAAAGTGTGTGTCTCGGGCCTCCACCTCTCAATCAATGCAGAAATTAGGACAGGTTCGAGTTTGCAACCGCCAATAATTGTTGCAATATATCCGAACCCGGCAGAAGCCAAATATGACAAAATACGTTCCAGTTTCGGTATACGTGGATTTTTAATAAATGTCTCTAAAATACGATCAGTATCCTAAATAATATGCATTATAAAAAATTAAAATTAATATAAATTCATAATAAATTTAAATTAAACATAACAATAAATATTAACATTAATTATAACAAAATATTACCATATCGCTAAAATGTCTAGAGATATGGTCAGCATCCAATCGCAGCAGCATTTCACTTTCCATTATAACTGTAGATAAAAAAATAATTAGCACAAAAAATAATTAATTAATAAATTTAAATAAATAATAATTATATAAATATTATTTTAATAAAAAATAATATTTATATAATTATTATTAATATAAAATATAATAACTATTTTAAAAAAAATATTAACTAAAAAATAAATTTCTTACTACTAATAAGAAATTTAAAACTCAAAGATTTGGAGAATTTGAGTTATATAAGAGATGAGAAGATGATTTTGGTGTGAAGAATGAGGGGTTGAGGGGGTTTATATAGGGGGAGGAGGAGGGGTAGTTAGGAAAAAATCGGATGGGCATTTAAGACATTTAATGAAAGTCGCGTCCTCATGGATGCGTCTTTCACACGTGACAACTGAATCAGCAAAACCCCGTGAAGGCGCGTCCCCGGAGATGCGCCTTTCACACGTGGCATCCAACTCAGCGTAAAATCAGGTAAAACGCGTCTCCGAGGATGCGCCTTTGTCCACCTCAGCTGAAAGGGTGCTACTTCGAGAAATATATGTTAAACGGTACTAAAAAGAAAAATATTCAATTAAACGATGTCAGTTTGATCAAATCGCCTTTAAATTGAAGATGAATCATGATTTTGCTTCCCAAGATGCTGACTTGAAGTTTGTTTGAAATGAGTGCGACAAAATGATTCTAAAGCCATTCCCAAGCAATGGGATTTTCTTACCATATCCGTGTCCAACACATATTCGGATGACATATATATAAAAGACATAATATGTCATTCGAATACGTTTTAGACACATATATATATTTGAGTATACAAATAACAAATTAGATATAAATATAATTGGTTTAAGGATTACTTTTATCCATATAATAGTTTTGATTTATCGTTTTCGCTCCTATCGTATTTTCACAATAATTTAGCACTTAAAATTGTTTAATTGCATCATTTTATACCATTTCCCCTAACTTAAAACCATAAATTATAAATCATAAATTAGCATTTAGGGCTTAAGGTTTAAGGTTTAGGGTTTATAATTTAGGGTTTAAGTTAGAAGTAGGTATAGAATGATGCAATTGAACAATCTCGAGAACTAAATTGATGCAAAAATACGTCATAGACGAAAGTGATAACTTGAGTTTACTACATGGGCAAAAATTATCCTTTTGTCAATATAAAAATATAACGTGTTTGATTCTTATTTTTGAACAATTCCTAACCATGAAAACACGAAGGTAGTTTCACTCCTATAAGTATTGTTCCCATAATTTAGAAGGGAGATGAGATGTCAACGATAACTTTTAACCATCTAGAGATTGTTAATAATATGTCTGCTTTTTTTAAATATATGGAAAATTTCTAGTTTAATTTTTTTATTAATCTAAGATGCTCATAAGTGATAGTATTTATTTTAGAGACTCTTAACCACTTGACACGCTCAAAATTCCTTTAACTATTGAAGTAGTTTGATTTGTCCTCTTACTCTATTACTATCTATTCTAAAAATTGAATTTGCTCGTATTCGAAAACATAAATATAATCAATCTTACTACATGCATAGATAAATTTAGAGAGATAAATGAGAACACTCGTTTATTTTCTATCGATAGTCTATAGTACCAATTACATGTTTTTACCTGACCCATCAGTTCAAAACATGCCGGTTCAAGGTAGTTAGTGAACCGTTTCATTCTTGTCGCCATTTACAGTTTCAGAAAGCACAAGTGATGATTCCCCCCCCCCCCTTTGTGTAATGACCATAACACACTGATAAGATCGACTACCTCAGACCAAATCGCTGTTGCGCATGACCATGGGGCATGGAGCTTGATCACCAATATTATTGTCGTTTGCTTCAATCCTGTACAACCCGCAGCTCCATTCTCCTAGGAAAACAGCTCCACCTCTTTTTCCTCAAAAAGGGTATCCTTAGTTCCACTCTTACAGTGGGAAATCGTCTCCTCCAAATGTATTCGCGGTGCGGAAGTATGGCCGAGATTTGGAAACTGTTCGACGAAATGCCGCATAGAAATTGTTTCACTTGGAATACAGTGATTGAAGGGTACATGAAGTCGGGAAATAAAGAGAAGACGTTGGATTTGTTCAAGTTGATGCCACATAAGAATGACTACTCCTGGAACTTTATTATTTCCGGGTTTGTTAAAGCGGGGGAGATAGAAGTTGCTGGGGCTTTGTTTGATAATATGCCTAGTAAAACCGCCTTTGCTTGCCATTCGTTGATTCATAGTTATGCTCGAAATGGGGATGCCAAAAAGGCTGTTAAGCTGTTTAAAGAATCAGGGTCTTTGGGAGATGATGCGTTTGTGTTGGCAACTGTTATTAGGGCATGCATTGATTTGGGAGCTATTGAATTCGGGAAGCAGATTCATGCACATATGGTGGTTGGGGCAATAGAGTTTGATCCGGTTTTGTGTAGTTCTCTGATAAACTTGTATGGGAAATGTGGTGATTTGGATGGTGCAAGTCGTGTTCTAAACTTGATGATAGAACCAGATGAATTTGCTTTGTCCGCGTTGATTTCAGGTTATGCAACTTGTGGCAGAATGACTGATGCAAGAAGAATATTTGATAGAAAGAGTGATCCATCTGTTGTTTTGTGGAATTCTTTGCTTTCAGGACATGTTTTGAACTGTGAGGAAATCAAAGCTTTGACTATCTTTAATAATATGAGGGAAAAGGGGCTTCAGGGAGACTTTTCATCTATTGCAGTTATTTTAAGGGCCTGCAGTAGTTTATGCATTTCAGAACATGTAAAACAAATCCATGGTCATGCTAGTAAAGTTGGTCTGATTTCCGATGTTATCGTGGCCAGCACCCTGATTGATGCTTACTCCAAATGCGGAATGCCAAATTATGCTTGCAAGTTTTTTACTGAGCTCCAAGCCTATGATACAATCTTGCTTAACTCTATGATCACTGTGTATTCCATCTGTGGAAGAATTGAAGATGCAAAGCAACTTTTCAAGACAATGCCAAATAAAAGCCTGATATCATGGAATTCGATGATTGTAGGCCTGAGTCAAAACGGATGTCCGATTGAGGCATTAGATCTGTTATGCAAGATGAATGAAATAGATTTGAGAATCGACAAATTTGCTTTGGCTAGTGCCATCAGTGCCTGTGCTAGTATCTCCAGTATTGAACTTGGCGAACAATTTTTTGCTAAAGCAACTCTCATTGGACTTGAAGCTGATCAAATAATATCTACCTCCCTTGTTGATTTCTACTGCAAGTGTGGTTTAGTTGAATATGGACGAAAAATATTTGACACAATGACAAAATCTGATCAAATCTCTTGGAATTCCATGCTAATGGGTTATGCTTCTAATGGTCGTGGGTTTGAAGCACTGGTTTTATTCAATGAAATGATAAATGCGGGTGTAAGGCCGACTGAAATAACATTTATAGGGGTTCTGTCGGCATGTGATCATTGTGGACTAGTAGAGGAGGGACGAAAGTGGTTTAACTTGATGAAATTGGACTACTATATTGATCCTGGGAAAGAGCACTACTCTTGCATGGTTGATCTTTTTGCTCGTGCTGGTTGCCTTGAAGAAGCGATGAATCTCATAGGAGAAATGCATTTCAAGGCAGATGCAAGCTTGTGGCTATCAGTTTTGAGAGGCTGTGTTGCTCATGGAGATAGAACTCTTGGAAAGAAGGTGGCAGAGAGGATTATTGATCTTGATCCCGGAAACTCCAGTGCTTATGTACAGTTATCAAGCTTATTTGCAACCTCTGGTGAATGGGAAACATCAGCTATTGTTAGAAGGATAATGAGAGAGAAGCAGATTGTGAAGAATCCCGGTTTCAGTTGGGCTGATAGTTAAACAAGCATTGTTATGGTAGCAACTGGCAAAAGAGTTGCTAATGGAAAGAGATCATTTTACCCTTTGGCAACAAAGTTTGATACGACATGCTAGATACATTTAACAATTTCGTCTGCACCAGGGTTTTGTCGGGCCAGCTTCTTTTACCTTGCTTCAAACATCAAGCTTTGGGGAGAGAGATGTGTTTTTTCTTCTTGTCTAGGACATTGTATTTGGCAATTTCTTGTAGGTATGTGTTCTCACAGGTTGCTTTAGATTTGATTGTAGTTGCTTTGATTTATCACATGCAATAGAAACATTAAAAAGATCGAATCCTTGGTCCCTTAAAATAGAGTAGATAAAGCATCATATATCCTTAGTCCTTACTTTGTAAAGAGAGGAAAGAAAAATTTGCTCCATGCATGCTCCCTTTCCTAAAACCAATTTATTGGTCTCAGAAACCCACTCTTTCTCATTACAACAACCTCATAACCCACTGTTTACCCTTCAAGTCCATTCAACTCTCCCAAACAATCCATGCTCAGTTGATCGAATTCGGATCTTTATCGCAAAGTTGGCTCTTTTGATGATGCTTCCGAAGTTTTTGAGGAAGTTAACGACAAAAATGTTTAATCTTGGAACATTTGGTTGAATAGGCTGTTCAAGTTTGGTCATTTTAAGAAAGCATGTTTATTGTTCAATGAAATGCTCGAGAAAGATGTTAGTTGGAACTCGATGATCTTGGGTTGTGGACTTGTGGGTTGCTGGGGTTATGGATGGGAAGTGTTTAAGGGAATGCAAAATTTTGATGATAGATCGAGTAAGTTCACGTTTTCAATTCTGGCAACATTTGAGGGGAAGGAAATTCACTGTAACATAATTACGCGTGATCGGCAATTCGTTGATTAATATTTACGGTAAGCTTGGCTTGGAAGAGTATGCTTTTAGTGTGTTTCAGAGTATGGAAGAGGTGGATATTGTGTCTTGGAATTCATTGAGTTCGGGTTGTTGTAAGTCTTCATGAAGACTTGGCATTGAAACAGTTTGATCAGATGAGATTGGCAGGTTATTCCCCAGATTAATTTATACTTTCCAATTTAATTGCTGTTTGTACTAATTTGAGAAATTTGGATAAGGGCAAGCAAATATCTGCTCTGTGTGTCAAGATGGAGTTCATCATCGAATTCCATTGTTTCAACCACTGTTATCGACCTTTCCTCAAAATGCAATGCATTGGAGGACTCGGTTCGGCTTTTTGAAGAAGTGGAACTTTGGGATTCTCTGGTTTGTGATTCTATGATCTCAAGCTATGCTAGGCATGGCTTCCAGGATGATGCTTTCTTACTTTTTGAGCTTACTGAGTTCACTCTAAGTAGTGTTCTAAGTTGTTTAAACTTTCTTTCATTCGAGCGAGGACCCCGGGTCCATTCTTTGGTGCTAAAATCCGGTTCTCTGGTTGGAATATTTTATTAATCGACTCTGCGGTGCAGGTTTTCTCTGATATACATGTAAAAAACCATTTGTTCATGTTCGATGCGGACTGGTTGCAGCATGAGGAAGGTAAAGGAAAACATTTAATATTGGAATTGGAAGAAAACAGCAGTGTTCATGTACAGCATGAGACAGAAGATGCAATAGAACTAGAAAATTGGATAACTTAGGCTCTGATTTGTTAATCTCTCTTGAGTTTGAGTTAACAGATAAAAGAACCCTGTGCAATTGCATGATTATGGTTCTTACATATGATTTAACACGTAAATGGAAAACCCTCTAACAATGGCGGAACCCGTGACTTCTAAGAACAATAACGATTCTTTTAACCATTGAGATAAGTCGATTCGTGTTTTAACGTTAACTTAAAAAGAACATTGTGGGAACGGTGTGCTTATAACATGATGAAATTAGAGGATGGCAATGGTGTGAGGATGCAGATTTAATTCGCAAGGGGGTTACTAACTTTTTCAGGGCTTTATTTCTCTCATCCTCTATTTCTAACAATCCATGGCCATTTCGGGAAAATTTACAAGGCTAACAGTGAAAGAATTGAGGTATCTTTTTTATGAGAGTTATTGGAGAAGAAGCGTGAAAGGTGGTCTTCGATACGAGTCCGCTCAAAGCCCCCCATAAATGGATGGGCTTTATGCTATGTTCTTTCAGAAAAACTGGCACGTTGTTGGGCAGTGCATAATTAATTTCATTCAAAAAATTGCTTTTAGGAAGACCATCTGCAGGAAGAATTCAACCGTTCGGTTATCGTTTTAATTCCAAAGATTGAAACGCATGAAACCTTCTCTTACTTTAGAGTGATTAGTCTTTGTACCTTTCTCTCAACGGTACTTCGGGTGGCCTGAGATTACATTTTGACTTAAAGTTAATAATTTCACCTTGTGTAGTCGTCAAAAACATTTTGATTAGGTACGGTCGGATACTTAAATATTATCGAATCTACGTTTTAATAGAGATTTACTTGTAAGGGTTCAAGAGTCGTTACGTGTGAGGAATGATGAGCACCCTCACATCGTTCTTTCGTTATCAACACGGTTACGAGTTGTCTTAATAGAGAAAATCAAAGTTTGAGCCAAAATTTAAAGAAAATATTCAAAGTATTTGTCTTTGAGTATTTGTTACTGTAAAATAAAATAAATTAGGATTGTAAAAAAATAAAAATATGAATACTTTGGATGTAATCGAAAAAGTGAAACAAAAAGATTACGAGTACCAAAATAAAGAAATAATAAATAATGTATAACATGAATAAAATGGTTTTTTTTTAACAAAATATGAATAAAAGTTAAATAAAAATTAATGTCCAAATTAAAGTCATAAATAGAATAAAAAAACAACTAAAATCTTTTTTTGATTAAAAAATAATTAAAATCTTGAATATAAGTTATGAATCTAAAAAATATAAAACTAAGTACAAAAATATATAAATATAAAAATGATCAAAAGTAATAGAATAAAATAATAAATATATAAATTAGAAAAATAATAAAAAGTGAATATATATATATAACATTCGTAAATAATTAAAAAAAAAAAGAAAAGAATGGGAAGAAGAATTAATATTAATCCAATCCAAATAATTGAATAAGAAGTTAATCCAAAAATAAGAATAAAATAGAAGAAAACTTGAACAAAGAAAGAGTTCTCTCAACAAAACTTTGAAAAAGTTAAAACTTTTTTTGATCTCATTTTTCTTTTCTCCCTTATATTTTTCTCCTTTTTCTCCCTATTAGCTTATTTATAGGATGCCGAAAAATCCTAAAAGCAAAAAACCCTATCATCTTTTCATTAATGCTAGATATATTAATTAAAAGAAAAATTATATTAAAATAATAAAAAGATCCTAAATTACCCTAAATAAATAATGGAAAGTATAAAGCTAAATTTAATTACAAATAATCAATAAAATAATTGAAAATTCTTAATAAATTAAAATTCTCATAATGGACTCGTATTTAATCTTCTGTATGTGTTATCTTCGTTAAAAATAACATATCTTAAGTTCCTGAGAGACCAATATATCATCAATGAACATGACCAAAAATTGGTTTACATAGAGTCAAAACACCCGATTCATTAAACCCGTAAAGGAAGCAGAGGCATTAGCAACCCTAATGACATCATTAAAAGCTCCATATTAAGTACAAAAATAGTCTTTCGAACGTCGAAATCTTTCACATTGAGCTCATAATAGCCAGACCTCAAGGTTGTATTCGAAAAGACAATAGCCCTTGAAACTGGTCAAACATATCATCTCTTATGGGAAGAGGATATTTGTTTTTGACTGTGAGTTTGTTTAGCTTCCAGTAATCAATACATAATATCAATGTCACATCCTTCTTCTTCACAAAGAGAACTAGAGCACCCCGCGGTGACACAATAGGTTGAATAAATCCCTATCCAATAACTCTTGGAGTTGGACTTTCAGTTCTTAAGCTCCTTAGGGGTCATATTGTAAAGAACCATCGAAATTGGTGTAGAACTGGAATAAACTTCAATCTCAAACTCAACTTCTCTATCTGATGGTAATATAGGCAACTCTTCGGAGAAGATATCAAAAAATTCTTTAACAGTCCAAACCCCTCTATATCAAATCGGGAACCTTTCATATCTAGAATATAAGCAAGAAATGCCTTCGAACCCTTCCTAATCATCTTTTCAGTTACTAAAGCAGACACAACATTTGTTAGGGACTCACGACGCTTCCTGATCATCACTATCTTCTTGTCATCAGAAGTCTTCAGTACAACTCTCTTGGCCAAGAATCAAGTCAAACTCCTCTTAAGGCAACTCCATTAGATCAACCAAGAAGATCTCTCCATGAATCTTTATTGAACATCTTCTATAAATTTGATCCAACTCTATGGACTGACCTACGATACTCTAAACTGTCACAACACTCTCGATATTCTCAACTAGGATATTAAGACCCCTAGATAAGGAATATGATATATAGGAATGGATAGAACCATTATCAAATAAAGGAAAATATGCAACTGAATAAATAGTAACAATACCTGCAATCAAACCAGGCTCATCACGGTCATATTGATGTCTAGCAATATAAATCAAACCAAGTTGTCTAGCCTTTGTTCGAGCTAAACCCTTACTCTGAGAAGATCGACCTCTACTAGTAGACTCAGATGCTCTCTCTTGACTATAACCCCTAGTTGAATCTAAATTGTACTCTGTGAACGAGTAGGTGTCTGAACAGTAGTAATTAACTCTGAAAACAAGAAATGTTCATTGGACCCACATCTGAAACAAGTATCAAACTTCTTCTTACACTAACCGAAGTGACGTCTCCCATAGTTCTCACAAGTAGTCAATGGCAGTAACCCACAAGAACCACCCTAACTAGAAGCGGGAATAGACGAAGTAGTTGATGCTACAGGCCTAGTACTCGTACCACCTCTCTAAGAAGACTCGTCCTTACCTTTTTTCCTAGGATGCATAGAAGAGTCAACATAACCAGAAGGCCTTCTAAATCGATCTCGGTCTCTATCTCTCTTACTCTCTATACACACTCATTCGATCTTCTTAGCCGTCATGGCTATCTCAACCAGAGCATCAAAATTCCTTTCCCGAAGC